TCACCTAGACAGGCCGCATAGATCTTGTAGATCGGTTCCAGGCAAAAGGTCACGAAGGACCGGTGCCGCTGCGGGGACGAGCACTCGGCAGGGTCGTCGACGAATCGTTTCGTGTCTGGGTCGTACCACCAATCGCCCCATAGACGGCTAGCAAACTGCGCAGACGTCAGATTCGTCCCGACCGACTCTTCGGCAGAGTGCTCGAGGTAGACCTCCGTCATGCTTTTTAGAGTGAAGAGCCAGCTGTGGATGGCGCTCGAAAAGGCCACGTTTCCCCTCGTCGGGGAGATCTCCGGATAGCGCCCGTGGGAGGCGTCCTGGATCAGTCGGTTGATCGCTTCAACGATGCTGAGCAGCTTGAAGTAGGCGTCCCTCGGTGGGAGGCGAAGCTCCGTCACCAGCCGGTCCACCTTGGTGATAACCAGGCACACCGGCAGGCCCTCCGAAACAATCTGCCTGGCCAGGAGCTCCGTGTGCATCGCGATCCCCTCGAGGGCGTCGACGCAGAGGACGGCCCCGTCGACGGACCGGAGGGCCGCTACCGACTCGTCGTGGAACTGTACGTGGCCCGGGCAATCGACCAGGGTCACCGCGTAGGATTTTCCCCGGGTGTCTGGGAGGGCCAGCGTGATGGGGCAGCTCTGCAGGGACATCCGGCGGTCCCGCTCGCTCTGCGTAATGTCGGTGTACCGGAGGGTCTCGCTCTTGGCACTCGTCGTGTGCTCGGTGGGATCCTCCGAGGAGGAATCGAGGGGGTCCCACCGGTCCGAGGGTTTCAGCGTAGGTTCCATGAGCGTGTCGACCAGACTAGTTTTTCCGTGGTGGAACTGGCCCACCAAGGCAATCCCGCGCCTCGTGGCCGTGGTTTCATTGGACAACAAGTTGGACGTCAGGAACTCGTCGCTGTACAGGTAGGACACAGACTGCTTGCTGCGCTTGCCCCTCCTTCCTTCTCCCGACTCGTCGTCGTCGTCGTCGTCGTCGTCGCCCCCCCCAAGGTGATGGGATTTCGTCACAACGGGTTCTACGATGGGCTGGTCCAGGTCCATGGCGTCCTCGTCCAGGACCGCCGTGCGAACCCCCTCTCCGAAGGTGTCCTCGGCCGACGGGTAGTGCTCCTTGTCTTCGTGGAGGACAATGGCGTTTGCCGGGTCGGCCGTTTGCTTCGCCAGGGATGCCGATTCGTCCGCAACGACTATTGCATTGGTCTCGTCGTCGTCCATTCCCGAGACCACGGATCCCTCATCGCCAATGCCATGGTCATTTCCAACTTCGGATTCGTCCGAAGAATCATCGTCCGAAGAATCTAGTTCGGGTCCGATGTAATTCCCGAATTCGTCGTAGAGTTCGTTGTCATTTTCGTCGTCGCTGTTGTTGTTGTCGTCTGCCATCGTGGGTTCGTTTAATGGAATTAGAATGAGTGTATCGATTGGCCTTCTGCGGTGTTGCTGTTGCGATGCGTTTCAATTACAATCGTGTTTTATTGGCGTTGCGTCGTGGATGGTTTGGTCTCAGCTGAAGAGAAGGCAACTCGCARSACCCGCTATGGATAATCGTGATGCATCACCTGCTGTATCCCACCATGGTCGGCGGTGCCTTCGGAGTTTCGATGGATCCGTCGGGTGGGGTTGCTGTCGCTGATCGTCTGTCATGAGACCGGTAGGGCTGCCCGTTATGGACGGTATGATATATGATATCCTATGAGTGTACGAGTAGAACAAAATGGAGGTATGAAGACGACATGACTCAGGATGGTCATCAACRYWACRTWMSSTAMRMKAMWRRAC